GGGAAAGAGCATCAAGCCTTCAGATTAAAACTCCTGGGGAAAAACCAGGGTGTGAAGAATGGGACATATTCATTAGCAGCGATAAGGGAGGGCCATTAATGTGGGGGAAATGCAAAGGGGCTTTTAATGCCTTTTTAGGGTTTGACATTCAAAGGTCTGCGCTGCATGAATTACTGTGTGTTGTGTCCAGACCGGGCTCTATCAGCGCAGAAATCTGTCTGCCTTCCTCTTCCTCCTTCATGGCCATGGGGATACCCATGACTGGTGTCCCAGAAGCAGCGATAAGGGAGGGCCATTAATGTGGGGGAAATGCAAAGGGGCTTTTAATGCCTTTTTAGGGTTTGACATTCAAAGGTCTGCGCTGCATGAATTACTGTGTGTTGTGTCCAGACCGGGCTCTATCAGCGCAGAAATCTGTCTGCCTTCCTCTTCCTCCTTCATGGCCATGGGGATACCCATGACTGGTGTCCCAGACACATCCCACCATGCAGGGCTTACAGTAGGATCTGTGCCGTGACCAACCCTGCAGCAGAGCCAGCAGCCACCCCACCACTCTCACAGCTGCAGCGATGCCAAGTGCAGCCCTTGCCAGTGTCCCCTGTGCCCCCCCAGAGAAGCAGGAGCCAAAAAAACCTCTTTCTTGCCTGCTGTGAGGCTCTGCCCAGCCCCAGGAGCCGGTTCCCCGCCACGGCCCACTGAGAGAGAACAAGAGGTGGAGGAGAAAAACCTGCACAGCCGGGTGTGGGGACGCAGCCCCCGCCTTGCGTTGCCCAGAGGCGAAGCCAAAGGCAGCGGAGCCTTCAAGGTGGAGGAAAGCAAAGAAAATCCAGATCCTGTTGGTATTTTCCTCCCCCCTCAGCATCTGCTCCCCAGGGCAGCGTTGGCTTCCCTGGAGCAGCCTTGAAAGCAGCCGTGCAAAAAGCACGCGGCCATCGCCGAGCATCGCGCAGACACCGCTCTGCCCCTGCCAATTTGGAGCCATGCTGGATGAACCCAGGCTCACACCACTTAAAATTCATGGTGTTTTCCTTCCTCTCCTCTTAATAGACCCCCTCGGAGGGCTTGGAGACAGGATGGGCTCAGGCACAAAAGGCAGCAGTGGGACGAGAAGAAAAGCCCCACCATTTCCAGATGCTTTCGTGGTGCCCCTCGCAGGCGCACACCACGTATATCCCTGTCTCGGGGTTTGTTTAGAAGGAGGCTGGCAAGGCATCTGTGCCAAAAGCGTTTCAGATTTGTTTAAAAAGAAAGTTACAAACCCCAGCATTGTTTCAGGGAAAACAGTATGTTTTAGTTTTAAACACTGCAGTGCTGGAAACCTAAACATAGTCAGTGCTGGAAAATCAGAAAGGGAGACTGAGGCTATAAAACACCAAGCAGTCTGGCTTTCAGAACCAAGCCTGTCTCCTCTGCCTTTCCAAGAAGAGTGAAGTGCAAATAGGAAACGGTGACAGGTTCCTCACAGTTTTAAAATTCATGTTTAATAAACTCAGATGCTAGCAACAGCACCAAGAACCCAGGAGCTGTTTCATCTTGGCTGCATCCCATTTAAACCTGCAAGAAACACACTGGAAAGCCTTTAACTCTTCGCTGACCAGAGGTGACTCTAACAAGCTTCTGACATGGGACACGGGGTCCCAGGACCCTCCCAGTGGAAGGCAGGAGTCAAAAAAGCACACAGGAGTGTGACCAGTGCCACCACTCCCAGTTATCCCAAGCAGTTGTGGCACCAGGCAATTAAAACGATTGCTCTAAATCACTGCTCTCCTGGTAGTTACGCTAATGCACAGCTCCAGGATGCCTTCAGGTTGCATGTGGCAGCTGTCCCTGCAGCCAGCCTTGCCAGCACAGCCCCAGGGGCAGCTGGAGGACACAGCCCTGGACATGCAGGACCCACACACCCCACTGCACCTGCCAGCTCGGCCAGGCAACGGGGTGCAACGCGTCCCATCCAGCGCTGCCGCTGCTGTGCAGACGGGGCATTTCA